ATTTACTTTGATCTTTTTACAATACTTAGAATTTACCTACGCGTTTATTTACTCTAAGGCGTTAATATCGCCTTAATAGACCGAATCTTACACATTTTAAAGTTAGCAAAGGTATTAATTACTTAGACTACTTAAGCGTCAAGGTAGATTAACTACCACACAAAAAGAATTGTCCAAGCTAGTCCTTAAGAGATCAGCTGGCAGTCATAAGTTAAGATGATGACCAAGAAAGACAATACTCATTCTAAAAAGCGTAGAGCTGAAAAGAAGAAGATGGAGAGAGAAACCGCTGCCGCTGCTGTTGCGTTTAACCGCACTGTAGCCGAAGCACTTGCCTCCGACAATAATAGTCAACATGACAATGCTTCAGATAAGGATGTAGCCACTCCGATTAAGGAGACTACTCTCACTGACAGAGCTCGAGGGCCAACTATTGCCTCAACTTTAAAGCTTGCATTTACGAAGCCAAGAAGTGAGACAAGGGACACGTCTCAAGACGACCCAACCAATTCTTCTGACGAAACTCAGAAAGAAAAGTTCCCAAGTGTAAGGGAGTCCCCTATTATAGGGGACAAGGACAAATCGCAGAAGGAACCTATAATGGAACCAGAAGAGGAGGCAAGCTCAAGTGGCAACCCCGAATCTACGTCCGAGACTATTAAGCTAACGCGCATAAGTAGGTTAATTACTGAAAACACTGATCTTAAGAATCAGTTAGCTACCCTTACAAAAGACTTGACTGTTGAACATGTAGATCGATTGTATAGATCAGGAAAATATACACAGCACTTACGCGAGCATGTTTCTCCTGGCATTACTGAAGCCCTACAAAAGTGGACAGAACGTCGACAGGCAATTACGCCCGAAGAACGTAAAGACTCAAGCGCTACGCCTGTGGCATATGTACCAGATGTGCTCAGCGTATCTATACCTTACGAGGGACTACCACCAGAACTTCAGGCTAATTACTCGCCTGTTCTGACACCCGGCCGTGAGTCGCCCGTCCTTGAGGGTATTATAGACCCAGAGGCAGGTAGAAATACTTCACCACTTTTACCCAATTGGAATGACAATCGTCGGAAACCAATTAAGACTGGATATGTTCTCCAGACGCATGAATTTCCCAAGATTATAATACCAACCACTATCTGAGGAACAGAGCACCGAAAGGCCTCGACCATGGACTTTACAAGGGGTAATAAACATCCCCGTAAACGTGTTAACGAAGTCGAATTTAATCGCTTCGATCGCACAGTACTACATCAACCCGCAGAGGATTTTTACTCTGACGAGGTGACCGAACTTAACAAATCGATCGACGATTATACTATTAAAATAAAAATCGCCCACGATGCGCATCATGCTGAGGATGTATCATATTTTTCCAATATGATTGCGATTAAGCAAAAGTGCATCGATCAGCTACTTCAGGCCCAACGTGGACAAAACCACAGGGATAACCAGAAGTACAAAGACAGATCAGTCGACTTAAGTCGAACTGGGATGCCAACAGTAAGCAGGTCGAGTTATAAACAACCATAATCTCGACACGCTAACCCGTACGCTTAATGCCTTTACGGTCATGCTGGAGACGAATGATATCGCTCCCCAGCAATGGATCTCTGCTTTAATGCAAACGTTTGACCCTACAGGTACAATTTATTTGATCCTGCAGCAACACCAACATGAGCTAGACACTTGTCGTGACTGGCCAGCTGTGTGTTGGTTGGTTACATCCTTGTTAAGTAAGGACATGCGTAGCCCAGGACTGAGTTCAATTTTAACTGATCCAGTTGAGAACACGCCCATTCAGAGTTATATTCTGAAGCTAGATGCTGACCTGAAACGTCCAGATATAACAAAGGACAAGGCACAGCGATGGTACGAGTTCCTGGTTATGCACGTGTTCTGTAAGAACATAAGGAATAACGACCGTGAGAGCCTGCACACGTAAACACGCGACTGAGGCTCGAGACAAGGGACATGAAACAAAGTTTTATCTATCCCGACTTATGTGGGAACAGTTTTATGATACTATATCCACCCTTTTCCCCGCACACCGAGTAACATCGAAGGAAAAAGTGGCTGTTAAGAAG